AGCTTGGTACTTGCGTAAAAACTGATATGTGGACCAATGGAATCGAATTGAAGACCCTGACATTAACCCACACACCTATGAACATATAATTTTTGACAAAGAAGCCAAAAGTGTACAATGGAAAAAAGAAAGTATCTTCAACAAATGGTGCTGGCATAACTGGATATCAATGTGTAGAAAGCTGCAAATAGATCCATATTTGTCACCATGCACAAAACTTAAGTCCAAGTGGATCAAAGACCTCAACATAAATCCAGCTACTCTGAACCTGCTAGAAGAGAAAGAAGGAAGTAGTCTTGAACGTATTGGCATAGGAGATCACTTCCTAAATATAAAACCAGTAGCACAGACACTGAGAGAAACAATCAATCAGTGGGACCTCTTGAAACTGAGAAGCTTTTGTAGAGCAAAGGATATGGTCAACAAGGCAAAGCAACAGCCTACAGAATGGGAGAAGGTCTTCACCAACCCCACATCTAACAGAGGACTGATATCCAGAATATATAAGGAATTCAAGAAATTAGACATCAAAATGCCCAACAGTCCAATTAAGAAATGGGCTATAGAACTAAACAGAGAATTCTCAACAGAGGAAACTCAAATGGCTGAAAGACGTTTAAGGAATTGCTCAACATCCCTCATTATCAGGGAAATGCAAATCAAAACAACTCTGAGATACCACCTTACGCCTGTCAGAATGGCTAAGATCAAAAACACTGAAGACACCTTATGCTGGAGAGGATGTGGAACTAGGGGAACTCTCCTCCACTGGGTAGGAATGCAAATTTGTACAACCACTTTGGAAATCAATATGGTGCTTTCTTAGAAAATTGGGAATCAGTCTCCCCCAAGATCCAGCTACACCACTCTTGGGCATATACCCAAGGAATGCTCAATCATACCACAAGGGCACTTGCTCAGCTATGTTAATAACAGCATTGTTTGTAATAGCCAAAACCTGGAAACAACCTAGATGCCCTTCACCTGAAGAATGGATAAATAAAATGTGGCACATATACACAATGGAATACTACTCAGCAGAGAGAAAAATGACATCATGAGGTTTTCAGGCAAATGGATGGATCTAAAAAAAAAATCATCCTGAGTGAGGTAACCCAGACTCAGAAAGACAAACATGGTATGTACTCACTAATCGGAGGATACTAGATGTGGAACAAGGATGACTGGACTGCTACTCACATTACCAGTGAGGCTACCTGGAAAACAGGACCCCAAGAAAGACACAGGGATTGCCCAATGATGGAGAAATGGATGAGATCTACATGAACAGCCTGGACATAAGTGGAGGTAATGAAGGGCAAGGATCGAGGGAAAGAGAGCCTGGGGGAGTGGGAGATCCCAGCTGGATCAAGAACAGAGAGGGAGAACAAGGAATAGGAGACCAAGGTAAATGAAGACCACATAAGAATAGGAAGAAGCAAAGTGCTAGAGAGGCCCACAGAAATCCACAAATATGCCCCCACAATAGACTGCTGGCAATGGTTGAGAGACTGACAGAACTGACCTATTCTGGTGATGGGATGACCAAACACCCTAATTGTCGTGCCAGAAACCCCATCCAATGACTGAGGGAACTGGATGCAGAGATCCACGGCTAGGCCCTGGGTGGAGCTCCTGGAGTCCAATTGGTGAGAAAGAGGAGGGTTTATATGAGCGAGAATTGTTGAGACCAAGGTCAGATAAAGCACAGGGACAAATAGCCAAATGAATGGAAACACATGAACTATGAACCAATGGCTAATGGACCCCCAACTGGATCCGGCCCTCTGAATAGGTGAGACAGTTGATTGGCTTGATCTGTTTGGGAGGCATCCAGGCAGTGGGACCGGGTCCTGTGCTCATTGCATGAGTTGGCTGTTTGAAACCTAGGGCTTATGCAGGGATGCTTGGCTCAGCCTGGGAGGAGGGACTGGACCTGCCTGGACTGAGTCTACCAGGTTGATCTCAATCCTCGGAGGAGTCTTTGCCCTGGAAGAGATGGGAATGGGGGGTGGCTTGGGGGGAAGGGGAGAGGGGCAGGAAGGGAGAGAACAAGGGAATCTGTGGCTGATATGTAGAATTAAATTATATTGTAAAATAAAATAAAATAAAATTTTTAAAAAGAGAAGTTATACAAATAGAGTAAATATCCCTAGCTGTATATAAAATGGCTCGAAGAAATATGGTATTAAAGGTTTCCTTGAGATGTCCTTTATGATGAGCTAGGAGAGAGTCAAGACTCACGCTGGATAAAAGAACTACATATTTAGTTCCAGAATCTACTAAGACATTTGCCTCCTTTCCCCAAGCTTCTGAGTAGTCATGGCAGCCTGAGCACCAAGGGCTGAAGAGGACAGCCTCGGGAGCTCTCAGCTCATGGCAGCTTCCTTTGCTTGCACAGGCAGTCTTTCCTGAAACTCCCCAACTATCTTCAAACATATTAGTTAGCATCAGAGGCCATTCAGGGGTTCATAGGCCTGTGTAACTCTAAGACCACTACTTATCTGTCAACCTTTACTTTTGTCTCCTTCCTTGTTGCTGTGCCTCCTCTTGATATGGATTATAGAAGATCAGGACTGTGATCTTCACATAATCTACGATATATTCTAGTGCAATAGGTAGTTTTGGTAGCTTCCTCATGGTGTCTCAAACTGAATCATTTATGAATGTATCCTTTTGAATCAGTTCTTTTTCTCTGGTGTCCAGAGATGGAGGAATGTTAGATTAACATTTCAAAAACTTTTGAGCTTTTCAAGGAAGGCATCAGGCTGTACAACAGGACATTGCTTGTGTGATGAGACTTTTCCTGATGCATCACACATACCTACTCATCACAGGTAGGGAGCCCATGACAGACCAAGTACACATACCACCAAACTCCATTATTGTGAACCAATGAATTTCATTCAGGTTATAGGCGTTTGAGTAAGGGGTTACCTACAAGAGAAGAAATGACTCAAAGACAGCTACATCACCAAAGTCCCACACGCAGCGTGGGTAATAGCACACAAAATCTTGGAATCTGGAGCACATTGCACAGCCTGAACGCAGCTCAACGGTTTGAAGAGTTGCTCTTTAGAACAGTTGGACTAAACATCTTCCAGGCAGCTCAGGTGGTATCTGCTTCTTCTAGGCAGCTGGTCTTGTTTCAGAGTCTTCTTTGCATCTTAACTTCTCTGGGAGTCTTCTCTGCAGCTTTGTCTATTCTGGGAGAGTGGAGCCTAGTGAATCTGTTTAGTTTCTGGGACTTCCTGGAGCTTCAGTATATGAGTGAAAGCCATCTGATCATTTTCTAAAGTCAGATTTAATCAAATTTTAGTCCTGCAAGAAAGTGAGATTAACTCTGGTGGGAACAAATTCATGTGGCATTTTCCTTAAGGAAAAAAACAAATGGAGCCAAAGAACTACACAATAGTGGTCGATTCAAAGAGTAGGCCCTCAAAAGTAAATAAGGAGACAGTGAGTAGGATGGCTTGGAAAGAGAAAATGGAGAATTTCCACCTGCCAGTTTTTCAGAATGATGTTGATCCTCCACAGAT